ACATAGACTTGTTTTAGATACTGAAGCTTTTTTTTTTTTTTGCAGTAATGAGTGTTACAAATTTGTTTTCTATTAACTGAGATTTATAATAGTCAATAACCACTGGACTATTGAAAATTGGTCTTTAAGGAAAACAAACATAAAAGATTATGAGGCTTGAACTCCTTTTCAAGAGTTAGCAATGCTGAGAAAAAATAGTCCAGCATGAGTAAAGATTCCACAAGCTGCCTCAAAATATGCAGTGCCACCTATTAGTTTCAAAATAAAATCAGAAACATGAAGACAAAACAAACAACTCTAAAAGACTAAAATCTAAAATTGAAATTACATATTCTTTGTCTTCTGTCATTCATTTTATACTGATAGATCTGAAAAAATGTTTTAACTGAAAGGATCTGGTCTTTTACCATTACTCAAGCCATACTTCCACTGCAATGACATTTCAATGATCAAGTAAATATTCACAGAACAGTTTTCACTACCTGTGCATTTTTTTAGGATCTGAGGTTGGTCAAATATAAAAAGATACTTGCAACTCAAATGCATTATTTGACAACATACTGATTTTCTGTACAGAATTATGATTATCTGTTAAAAGGTAACACTTGACATCAAAACACTTCATTCCTCTGTGATGTGACTGTGTTAAAGACTTGTACAAGTATTACAGACATGAACTTCATATCATTCAGTACCAGGAGAGTCTACAATGTAGCTTTCCCTCATGAAACAGCAGCACTCACACACCCATGCACTTCACCCTGCACACGAGCTAGGTACAAAGCTTATGCAGCTTTTTCCCAGGTGAGCTAAGATACAGAACTGCTTAGTGCTCGCCACACTTCTGCTTTCCTAAAGGTCACCGCATAAGGCCTATTGCCAGAAACAGATGCCACCGAAAACACATACCACCACAATAGTTCAGTTATATTTACAGATGCTCTTTACATGTAAATAGAGTGCTCATTGTCACAAAAAAAAAAAAAGATCATTTCCATACTATAAACAATCATTGCACATTGCACATTTATCTTGCTGGTCAATAAATTTCAAGAGTGCACAATATTTTTTTTTCTCATTTACTTACTAGATTTCCTAATATTATCTACTGCATCCAAAGAGGAGTGTAGAAAAATGCAATACCTTCAGGCTGTATTAATTTCTTTGATCAGTACAATGATTAATCATCATATAGAAGTATAGAGACCCACCCTCAAATCCTATTCAAGCAAGAATCTCTACGATGTTTGACTGTTGCAATGACAGAGGATGGACTGAGTAAAGATCACAGAAATATCCTTTATAGAGAAGTATCATTTAAAACCCATGCAACTACATGAGAATCCCCATCTCTCTTAATAATTTGCATAGTTCCACTCAAACGTGATGCAAATAAAAAACACACTGATGCAAACCTCTTACAGCTTAGTACAGAGTGACATATTGAGAACACACCATTGTCCTTACCATGGCTTAGAATTTCACTGCTTTAGTCACTGAGCCAAAAAATCTTCATATTATTTGGTCCTTTTATAAAATTATCAGTTAAAATAAAGAAATAATATAAACTTAAATAGCATGTTAGAGTCATGACTACTAAATGTTGGCTGTTTGAAAACACACACAGACACACCTATACTAGACTAACTTTCAACATGCAAGCACATCAAGACCTTTAGATGCAATAAGATCGCAATGTATCTTGCCCTCTAGGAAATACTGCTGACAGGGTCACAAAGGAAAGAAATACAGCCATGTCTTGCTTGAATATCACTGAGATTAAAATAAAAATCATATTGCCTAAAAATTACAGAAATCTACAATCTTAACTGTAATCACTATCAAAAGTCTGTGTGTCCTCAAGTTGCTAAAAATATTATTTAGTTAGAACTGTTGCAAGCGAAAATAACCACCTCCCTTCCCCACTCCAAAACTAGGTAAAACTGGTAGCCTCTTGAGAAGAATTACCAATAGTTATTTTTTCTAGTCTGCATTATTATGCTGTTTTGAGGTTTTAGTCCTTAAATCAGACTTCTTCCTCTAAATTTAAGGCTTTTTGTTTCTCTTCCTGATCAGTAGAACCAAGGCCATTTCTCTAAAAGAGTAGGGACCACAACTTTGGTCTTCTCTGCAAGACGTACTTCTACGAATATTTTTTTTAATAAAGTGTGTCTACTAACAGAGACCTTTTGAAATTACCTTATTTTCTCACAAGGTGACTTTTTGTGATTCTCAAACTGTCAACCAGAGCAGTAACTGAGACCACATCATCTGGTAGAGACAAGGAAACAACTATTTTTTCAGTTCTAAACTTCACAATGACAGAACAGAATGGTCAAAATGCAATGTCAGTCCTAGAAGAAGCCTTATTAGCGTGGATATGATCAGTTATAACAGAGAGCTAAAGATTAAAGATTAAGAGTTAAAACATAACTCTGTTTCTTGAGATGAAAACCACTACCAGTCTCTTGCTCCTTTAACTCTTATTTATTCCATAATGAGAGCTTTAAAGAATGATAAAATTACTTTACTGGATTCTTCTATGCCTACTGAACACGCAAAGAGAAAATAAAAAATCCACTCTTGATATACAGACATTTGATCTTTCATAGTAATCACTGTGATTTGTAAACCAGACATAGATTCATAGCTGTATGTATGTAGATATGTGTTCAACCCTCCTGAAACAACAGAATTTGTACAACGAGTAGGGAAGTACTTTAATATAAAAATGATACTTTTATAGTATATCATACAGGATTTCCCTGAAACACAGGATGTCAATACTGACCACCATAAAGTAGCTTTATTTATAAATGAAGAAAATGCATTGAAATGCTCTCTATAAGATTTGTATATAGCATTAGATTTTGACATCTCCTATACGCATAGTGACTGTGAATGTAAATCATTAAGGACACAATTCAATTCCATGTACAGTTAATGGAAAAGTTTTTAAGACCTCATTCTGCTTTGGATTCAATCCAACATTGGGATCGTATCACTTTTAGTCACACCATTTGACCCTGATACTCATGTGACAAGAGTGAAAGAAGTAAAACTGATATTAAAATTTGATACCGTAAATCAGAGCAAATACTATGGTCTTATAGCCTCACTGAATTTAATTTCTTACAATAGCATAGAGTGTATACCTACTAGCATATTTATTTCAGAAGATACTGTCAAAACCATTTAAAATATTTTATAAAATCTATTCAATTTAGTACTTTTCTGGAAATATATTCTCAACTTCAACAAAGTATTAACCATGGGTAAAATCAGAAAACTTTCCCTTCAGAAGGACAAATCAATCACTTAGACAAAACCAAAGTACTCTGTAGAGAAGGAAATCTCTTTAGCCTTTGATTCCATGTGCCATAATAAAGCCATATTGACACAGGTGGTATGATACATAACAACAAAGTAAATGATATGTCACATCCTATTTGTACATTTTATATGTAAGACGCAAGCATATCAACCACAAGTGTAAGTAAGACTTCAGTAAAACAGAATTATTTTACAGGTATTCACAGTATCAACAACTTTCTAAACCTAGAGTAGCTTTAGCTTTCTGTTCAACTTCCATTTTTTTCTTTTCTCTTCTGTATACATCCCATCTCTACCCATTCTCATGGGAAGTTCTAAATTCATTTCCAATGTCCTTAACAAAACATAAACTACTATTTTGATTGATAACACACCATTTATCAAGAACAGCGGAAAGATTATAGGTAAATAGCCAAAGGAAAGATGACTTAAAATTAAAAATTGATTCATCTTTATACATTGTACCAAGTTCTGAAATTGCCAAAGAAACATGAAGGAAATTTGAAATTCATTACTTATTACATTCCTCTAAAAATCTCCAAGTTTACTATTATGCAGAAATAGAATCTGTAAATGTAACTTGTAAGTAGTTTATAATCCACTGGCCTAGATTTACTACATAACAAAACAAGAGGTCAAAAATGTAAAGTTTAAAATTAATAAAACCCACTTGTATTAGTATAGTAATAATTCAGAATAAACACATGTATAAACCAAGAATACATTTTTATATGTGTTAACTGTAAGTGTAGTATTCTATCACACAAAAAAACCCTATGGTAACCTCCCATGATAAGAAGGTCAAGGTCAGCCATATTATCTGTTCAAGAAAGTGGCCTGCCAACAGTTCTATAAAGCACTACAATATTTGAACCATTAGAAACATTTCTCTAATTTCCACATAGTAGAAAACCTTGTGGTACGTGGCAGTATCAGCTGTTCCTTGTAGTCAGTGAGAAAATAGGCTTTTTAAACACAGAAGAAAACCTGAATGTACAAATATTATCCATTGTGCCATTTTATTTTACCCTAATCACATATACATTATGTGTAGTATGCTGTTAGAAAGTGAAATAGCAATATTCATACTTTTTTGATATTAGTATGTAAGAAATATCTTTCACAACCATTAGGTATATGTTGTGTTTTCCTTTGCCTGACCAGTTTATCTTTAAAAAGAAAGAGCTGATGACCTGTGTTTCATGTTCCCCATGGTGTTTATTTTCACTCTTTACTCACTGAACTATGAACTCCAGAAGAAAACCAGATTTGTGACATTTAGTATTAATCTATGTTAATAACGCACAACAATTAATACTAACCACAAAATAAGGTATCAGTATGTCAAAAAGTTGACAGAATCTTTGCCTTTGATTTCTTAAGCTGAATACAAACTAGGTATCTGTTGGAAACTACCACAACTCTAATATAAATTATAGAGTAGACAAACATAAAAAGATATAGAAAATTAAGGCAATTAAACCATGTGTAGTAATCCACCGGTCAAACTCTATTGGATTTCCCAGACCACAAATATGCTTTCATTCTCTTCTATTGCTTTATTGGTAGCATTATAGAATTGAACACATATTTATGCAAGTAGACTTTCAGTAAAGAAAGGTAAGAAATCAAAGAGTTCGAGCTATCTTAAGCTCATTATTTGATACCTTGCTCTATACTGCCACTTCTTACTGGAACTTGTGGAAGCTGTCTTCCCCTGCGACTGCTGAAGGATGTGTCTGCAGGAGGAGACTGTGTGGGACTTCCTTGTTGATGTATTCTGCAAATGAAATTAAGATAAAAGTAAAATAAACCAAAGGAAGAGAATTTTTATATTCTGAATTTCAAACACGTATTAAGTTGCATATACTGAAGATGAGTTTGAAGAAGTTTGCATTTGGTGTATGCCATATGCACATACTCAGCTCTAGATACCTAGTTAATACCTTGGCTACTTGATTTCTCATACATAGACATAGCATGTGAGTCTAACACATCAAACACCTTTGGAAGATTGGTAAGTTTGCATTTAAAGTAAATAGGGCCAACTCTAATAACTAGGGAAAAAATTTAAGAAAATAAAACAAATATGAGAAGAAGAAGAGGGAGAGCTGACTATTAAATGCCCTTGTCAGCTACACTAAATCACACTCATTATAGTGGATAAGCAATGTATATCTACCATATTAAGGCTACAAGTACATAACTCGCAATTCTAAGCAACACATCCGTGCAAATTCAAAATATTGTTGGCTTTCACACTACGCAGATCAATTCACTTTCTCTTCGCCTGTAGGATCAGAGTTAGCTGTGTGAACAGCATGTGATTTCCTGCATAGTTTTTAAGAAAAATACTTTTGAAAGTTTTCGTATGGATACAGAACAAAAGCACAATGGAAGGACAAAACACAGCTAATTTTTTACTCTTACATTGCTTAACTATTTAAGTTGAACAGCAAGAAGTACCATCTGGATGGTGAAGATAGGTGGCATAAAGGACATGGGAGAAGTGTAAATACCATGAAGAGAGAATAATCTACAGTGCCAGAATGAGTGAACGCGCCACGTATGCTCAGGAAAGTACACCACCACACTGACACCTGGGAGGTGGAACATGAAAGCTGTGCTGTACACACAATAGCAACCTTGTCAGAAGTGGAGAAGGTGGCGCCGACCCTCCGGGTGCTAGGTGATGTACAGAGCATGAGGGTCTGATACTAGAGTGCTCACTCGACCTCGAGCGAGCGTGATGCTTTCCCCTAATGACTGGCTGTTCAGTCGTTCGCGGGGCTGGAAGTCCCCTTCTAGAAAGACATGGTAGAAGACCCCTAAAACATCAGGGCCAAAAAGAAACCATTCAGTCGTTAGCTCCAGGCACATTCTCCACCCGCCTCCACAATAGAACACTGCAAATCCTGGCTGCAGGACTAGGGATGACATTTCAGATTGAAGTTACTCATTTTCAAAATGACGAACTGCAGAACGCTCACTGCTGTGGATACACATGACCCACATTGTGGAATTGCACTGCACATAGTGGACAGCTGACCAAAAACTCTAGCTGCATCTCAAACACAAGCTAACAACACATGACATAAGTACTAGCACAGAGTAGGCTGTGAATGCCTAGTTTTACCAGAAAGCATTTCTGCTTCTAAAACATACCTTTCATCCCTATTAAAAATATTAACTGTATTTCAATTAGCATCCTAAAAAAAAGGACAACATGTAATCACACATGTCATTCCTTTGGTTTCCTGAAGAGTTTGAAATATGAAATCTATTTAATAATCTTTCTGTGTAAGCCCTGAAGCAGAAATGCAATTCTGAAGAAAGGCTAATGAATACTCAGTTAGAATATGCAGTAAAACTATTAATGGTGTTAGTATAATAAAGAATAATTATTAGTAGTTTAACCATTGCATACACTGCAAGTATAAGATAACCTGAAACATTTAAATTTTGGAGAGTGACAAAGTATTCTAGACTGTGCCTTCTTCTCCTCCGTGGCTTCCCAACAGTGCATAATTTTGTACATGGTACTACTGTATCTGCTGTTCTTTCAGAAATTTAAATTTTCTGTGACATTATCTCATTGTGAGTTTATTGGGTTTTGGCTTGGTTTGTCTGTTGGTTTTGGTTTTTTTTTCATCTCTGCAGACTTATGAAGTCTCTGTTTACACAGCAAGCACGACCTTCCCACAAGGTACAGTCAAAGCAACCAAGGGACTGTCTAGTTCGTATGACTATCACAGTGAAGTTATCCTGAAAAAAGGAAAGTATATATGAGATAAAACACAGTTGTCTACCAAGGATAAATAGGTTTGCTTTCAAAGTTTGTGTGGAAGTCCAATCGCAATGCAACATTGTGACTGTGCCCTTGCACATTCTCTCTGTCAAACCCTAATACTTCTTTAGCATAACTCCTGGCTTGCCCTGGTGATAACTTCAACATTCTTAGAGACTGATTCCCCTGATTCTAAAAGATGCTTACGAAAATGAAGATGATCCAAGTTCTGAAAATGTCTATTTCTCCATGCTGATTGTAAAAGTAATCCATGCCAACTATTGAATGCAACTAGCTTTTAAGCATCTGTTTTATCAGAAGTTTAAACATCAGAACATCTATAAAGGTAAATAAGGATCCCACTAAATATGGATCCCAGAAAGTGCTTGCTTGCTTTTACTATGAATGACTGCTTCAATCTAACAAAGCAATCACATTCTCAGTTCTGATTTTTCTCATTTTAGAGGCTAAATATCCTGAGAATTCAGTAAAGCACTAGGAGAGCCTGTCCTGCCATTACAGAACAGACACTACCTGAGACTCAGAAACTTACCTCCTGCTCTTTCAGTAACACCCTTTTTACACACCTGTCCCCTTCCATGAGAGAAAGACAGAGGATCTGCTTAGCTAAAATGAAGACAAATGGGGTTTAAGACTTGCGTTAGCTGGCGTATTACATTGAGATGAATTTGCTACTTGGAGTACAAATGAAAATAGAGCTAAAAGGAAACTGGAGAAAAACTAGAATGGAGTTAAGGACTTGCTGGCCTAGGAAAAAGGTCAGTTGTTGAAAGGAAGAAGTCTGCACATAGCTTGTCAGGAGAATAAGGCAGAAAGCAACAAGCATGGAAGACAAGAGCTAGTGTATGACTGAGGAAATGAGACAGAAGTGAGGTAAGAAGTATGAAAAGGGGAGGAATTTGGGAGACAAATGATACTGGCTGAACAATGAGACTGCAATGAGCACATACGTGTGCACCCCATCTCCTGGTTTCTCACAGAGGAAGGTTACACTGCAAGCAGCAAACTTATTAATTCATTTGACAATGGTCTACAGCAGAATCCTACAGGTTCCAGCTCTGCCTGCACACAAGAAAACTCAAACTCCTTTCTCTTCAGACTGATGCCTCAGTGGCATGTACTAAATAAAATATGCTTCCACTTATGGAATTATAAAGAAAAACTAAGAACAAGAGAGTTTCACCAACCCAGTGCACCCCTGACAAAGGGTCCTATGAAAAATATAGCAATTTAAAGGCTGTATGCATCATAATATGTATGACAGACAACCTCAAATCTGACATTTTTTGAGGTGATCAGTTAGGGCTGAAAGAAAGTACATTAGGATTGGTCTGAATTCTTTTTAACCACAGTTTTGCTAATTCTCACAAACAGAGAAAATGTTTGATTTTCATGTAATCAAATTTACTCCTTCAGAAGAGTTTACTGAATCTCATCTTGAAGACTTATCTCACTGAATTAAGAGAACTCGTAGGTTTTGTAAACTATCCTGAAAAGGTTTGCTTTTTCCCTTTTATGCACATTTCCTAAGCTATCACAATACACAGAGAACTTAATCTTACATAGCATTTTGAAAGGCTTTATAGAGAAGCTGACAGCATGCTGGTATCTTATTCCAGTAATCTGCTTAGATAATAGTAGACAAAATCCGTGAATTGAAAAATAAAGATCAAATCTAAGACAGAAATGGAAATTTGGAAAAAAAAAAAAGCATTGAGCTATATTTGCGATTTGACAGGAAAATTAATTGCCTGTGCTATTATCAAAACTTCCTGGCACTAGTGCAACATTATTATCTATATCTATAATAAACTACGGCACTCATTTATTTACATGTTTGTGTCTCACATCTAATAGCAGTGAATCATTTTATGGTAACAGAAACTTACACCAAGTGCCACGGAGATCTAAAAAGAAGAAACCTAACTCATGTTTCCCTATGCTCTTGTTGCACCGGCTTCATCACTGAATGGCTATGAAGAACTATGATCCCCTTGGACCTTAGTCCCAGTTGTTCCCCTTACTCTTCAGAAGTCAGAAAAAACAGGGAAATAAATGGCTTTAGTGATCTCAGTGGCAAAAACTGTCCCTGGTTTAAACACAGCAAGGATTTCAGTACCATTTAGGTAATATCTCTGGTCTAAACTGAAAAAGCAATTGGGCTGTTTTGTCAAAAGAATCATCAAATCCAAGAAAAAATAACCATTGCTTTTGGATCAGGAATGATAATCTGGAACTTAAAGCAGTAAAATAAATTAAAAGCTCCAAAGTTCTGCTCCAGAATACACATTTTCATTGCAAATAAAAATGTGTCTTTGTTGTTCATGGAAGTTTTTCAACCCTTACAATGTAAACAGATGCACATTCCTCTGCTAATCAAGATATAACATAAAACTGTTTCCGACAAAGGCAGGATCTCACCCCTCCTGATTTATTTCAGCCAATACACAAGGTTTAAAACTTAACCAGGTGTACTTATGATTTAGGGTCTATCTTTGTTTTTCTCACTTTTTCTTAAGAATTTGAACATATAACCTTATACTACTGTAGCACTAAAGCTAAAAGTTACACGATAATAGAAGTACAGGAAAATTCAATCAATACAAATGTTAAAGACCCAGTGTTCGTATTAACTTTATATAATAATAGGTTATAAAATTATCTATACAAATTTAAATGTGCAACAACATTTTTATTTCATAAAGTAAAATTAACTTGATCAAAGACATCTTGAATCATCAATCTGTTAATATTTCTTTTCATTTTCAAAGTGATTGTAAAATAGATGAGAGTTTTTGAAAAAAGATCAGTGATAAAGCACAGAAAAGATTTAGTGCCACACTAATGAAATATGCTATGCATTTCCAAAATTCATCTTACAGAGATGAAGATTGTGGCAATGGGTCTCAGACTTTGGCTATAAAATAGATGGACTGCTTGTCTTTACCACTGAGTTTACCTGCAGTGATGGAAAATGCCAGAAAAATTTCATATGTATGCGATACAGCCAGCAGTGTCAAAAATATATAGACACGAAATAAATAATACTGTAAATTACAACGACACTGTAAATTACAGATGTTCTATTCTGAAAGTTGCATTAGAGGTGTACTCCAAAAACTGGAATTAGATTGATTATGAGAGATGTTTACACACCGATCAGCAATCCTACCTTTCCGTTTCAGTTGCAGAGCCTTTCCTAGTTTGTTTTTGGCTGCTATATCTTTCGACTTTTCTGGACTGCCTGTGAAATGACATGTCAGAAAACAAATAAACAAAGAAGAAAAAGAATATAGAAATACGAAGATTACTTATTACTGTATTATAAAGTTAATAACAGGAATGGTTGCAGATGAAAAAGTGACATCTATTGTCACAAACAGGCTGGAGAACTCAAGACATATTGCACTGATTCAGTTTGATCGAGGCCGATGGTGTGAAAGTTATGAGGCACTAAAACAGGGGAGGTAACATTAATCCTGACTGAAATTGCGGTTTAGTTCCCACGTCACAGTCTGTATTTGGTTAGAAACAATGTCTTCTCATAGGCCTCTTAACAGCATGACAAACAAATGCAGAGTAGACATCAGGAAAAAAGTGTTCCAGAAAATACTATGCAAATGTAAACCATAAAAATTGCTTTTAGATCTTAATTTCAAAAGCAAAACAAATACTGCATCACATCAGACTTAAATAATGCTGTCACTATAAAGTATTAGTAAACCTGTCTTTTCAAAAATCTCATTGTATCAAATGTTGTTAAAGTTTTTTAGAAACAATTTAAAACAATTCTACCTTTTTCTAGTCAATACAAGTAAGTTAGATGCTTATTTCATCCTTTTATTCCTTTCCTACATGAATCTTTTGCAGAATTCATCTGACATTTGGATAGTGATGGACCAGCTACCTCTTGCAATCTAAGCATTTACTTCTATAGTAAATAAGAACAATGAACAGTAACATGAGTCAATAAATGTAAGAACAAAGTTAAAAACTGTTTTACCATTATGACCCAGAACTACAAATATACTATGCAAATCTCTGCAAGTCTTGTGGGTTCCAAAATTTTCTTTACTATCCATAGTAATGTGAGCATTTACAACTTAGAATCTACAATTTTAAACCTCTAATAATCATCAATATATACTAGTTTTTTAGAATAAAAAGTGCATACGGTATTTCAGAAGTGGGCAAAAGCAGGGAGCAATGATTTTTCATCGATAGACCAGAAATGCTGACAAACCCCAACTTGCATCTTACACGAGTGCAACAGATGTGGATAGGAACTTGCAACAATATAATCATTTTCATATGTTAAAAGTATAGAAGAATTACTGTGAGCAAAACAAATGGATTAAAATAATATTTTTAAAATGTATGTTTTTCTTTTAAACCTTTGTGGCTATAAAGAGTAATCTAGAGTATGAACCTGAAGATACCTAAAAGGCTGTAACACCAAGTTATACCCAAAGAATATAATCAAAGTGGATTTTTATGATTTGTACTCACTGCAATATTTGCTGAGCATTATATTGTGACACAGTATGCTCCACAACAAAGAAAAAGCTGCAGCAAAATACAAAATGCTTTTTGCATGAGCCGAGGTCATTACATGATGTTTTCTGGGCTTTAAGGGAATATATTTTCCTAGCAAAAAATACCTTGGATTAAAAATTAAAATCTCCTGTATCCTAAAACTATTTCTTTTTTTTTCTTGCATATTTTCATTACTTTTTTTTTTTACTGGGACAAATACAATGCAGATACACAGGAAAATTAGTATTAAATGCTGCAGCTTTACTTAAAAACTAAGATCAGCAGAGGTTCTAAAAACGTCCCTGCTCACTGCATGGGGCTTGGACTAGATGACCTCTAAAGGTCCCTTCCAACTCAATGCATTCATGATCCTATGGTTAGATCCACTAAATGCAGCAGCATTATCACTCAAACAATGTCACCCTTTTTGTTTTCTGCTTGGTTGGTTGTGGGTCTTATTTTCCTCTTACTCCTTACATCACTTGAGTAGACTGTGACACATCCATTACGTGCAATGGAGAAAAAACAACACAGTGTCTACTCTGTAGGATGGAAAAGCTGAGAGTAGAACATGCTTTCCAGTGAAAAGTGACTAATATATAGCATAGTGAGCCGAACACACTTGTTTCTCTGCTCTCTGTGCTGTTCTTGGGAGCAGCACACCTTAGAAATATATCCAAAACCACAAATTCCCTTCTGTTTCCTCCCTCTTGTGAAGATGATGCTGCATACAATTCCAGAGAGCTCAGCAGCCTGCTACACCAGTGGCTCAGCTTGAGGCCACGGTGGGCAACTGCAGGTACACATGCACACGTAGGCATCCTCTTGTGCCCATATACAACGTACAAAGAGTGCACTGGGGATGAGAACACACACGCCATACTCAAATTTAGCTCTTAAACGTACTTTCTAAGGGATTAAATATTATCTATGAACAATACATGGGTATATGTACTGATACATAAAAGGAGGAAAAAAAAAAGATGTGAAAGTATTACGCAGAGCATATGAGGAATATACAATGACCAATATCTCATTTAATTGGAACTAGGATTTGAGTAAATAAGGATACCTCTGTGCTGCTCCAGGTTTAGCACTTAGGTGGTCTACACTGTCCTGTTTTGGAATGCAAGACTCCAGCGTCCTTGTTCTTCACAAAATTTGGAAACATGGATGTAAATTTGGACGGAATGAGCAGAAACAGAGAGATGGTCACATGCAGTGAAGGTGGAGACATGCAGTCAAATATATAAACCAAAAGCATTAAGGCACTGTCTGCTGAGAAAGGCAGCATTTCTCATTTGCCCTTCCGTCGATTTAATCCACACACTCTAAGGAAATGTTAAAAGTTTTAGACATAATATTAACAATCTAAGATGCAATAAACAATTAAAACCACAACAATATTTTTAAGAATCTTTATATTCCGCATGCTGAACAGCAGCACTGCAGGTTAATAGATGCTGTTGTCCCTCTTGAGAATTCAACTACAGTACTGTTTGTTAGATTAATATATAAACCTATGCAGAATATTTTCCCTTAGGAATTTGAAAAATTCATATTTTGGCATTTTATTATGAAATTCTCTTGAAAATGCAAGCAAATCTCATAACTGGCTATATTTTGATGAAAACTTCACATTCTATTGCCAGCCAGTCTGCTACAGAAATGATTAACAATAAGTCAATTTCAAAGTAGAACTGAGTCAGCTTTTTAAAAAAAATTTAAATACAGTTCAGAATATTTCTTAATTTCTATATTACTTTCATTTCTGCTGAAGTTGTTTAAGAACTTCAGAATTTGTTCACAGCTTTCAATTTGGCATAAATATTATTAGCTTGTTGGTTTATTATTAGTTTCTGATGGAATATATGGTAAAAATTATATTTTCTTAAAAAGGTGTATGAATGTAAGATTTTTTTTTTTCAGATATCACATTTGGCTCTTAATGAGACAACTCAGCAAAGTTTGCAGTCGACTAAACATATGTAATAAATTTGCATCTATACCTCCCTTAGGGTGAGGAAATGCTAAAATTTATCTTTAAGATCCTAAATCTACCAACCATCACTGATCAATAAGACAAGCATTTTGTATTACTTTATTTACAGACAAGCACAAGACTGATGTGCCTCAAAATATCACTGTTGAGTGTAAACAAAACATGCAAACAGAACTATAAAATTCCTATCAAAATTAAAAATTACTATTCCTAAAGTCACAAAATAACATTTTTAAATAAAAATTAAACATTTAAACTGATTTATTACTCGCTTGTACAAAAGACCTCAGTGGTTTGCAGCGAGTTTGTTCATTTATGTAGCCTTAAAGCCACCAATAATGTCCTGTTCAATACTTCCTGATTTTTCCTGAGGATTTTTGAAAGGCTCAATCTACATGATATGTGAGCTTGGAGGTCACAACTCCTCTGAAGGCTTGGTAGCTCCTCACACTCATTCCTAGCACTTCATGTCTTGTAAAACTGCCTCCCTGATCAAGTCACGCCGTGTTGCTGAAAAAATGGGAAAGGATCATCCAAGCCAAATCAGTCTGGCACTGCTAATGCAAGCACACCTCAAATTCTCTTTTGTGAAAGTAGCAGAAGTGTCCTTGCTCTACAGTTGGCTTCAGGATAGTTCTTGGGCAAGCATTGTTACAGATGTAGGCATGTCCACTGAAAGCTACTTCTCTTAACTGAAAGCATATGAAAATTAATGTTTTTTAAGGCTTATTTTAACCAGTCATGGATATATGCTGAAATTATATGCAGATTTCTCAAAAAGAACAGCCTGAATAAAATTTCCACCTACCATTAAATGCCCAATTTTCATTGTCCTTGTTTTTATCATCACTTATATTTTAATAATTTCACAGTTCTCCAGTTACCGGAAAGTCTTTCACTTTAGATAGACTTTCTGACATAAAAACCAAACAAAATCCTCCCAGCAATGAAGCTATCAAATTCAACCCAAAATCTTTCTTTAAATTGTCTTAAATACATGATACTAAGAGTTGTTAACACTGAAATAACATATAATCCATGTCTTCATCTTGACAAGGTATACCATGCAATTACTTTTTCTGATACGGCAAGTGAACAATCTTGCCATGACTTTTACTAAAATTTATGTTGTGAATCATTGTCAATAAATACAGTGTCGCAAAACCTGAATTTAAATGATCAAAATTAGAAATAGAGTGTTAAGGCATATGTTTAAGAAATGTACTCAGAAATAGATCTTCTTGATTTCACCCTGTATGCAAGTGGGGCCAATTCGTAAGATCACTCTGGAATGTACTCAAATGAAATCTAAGATAACATCTGTCAAAGTCAATTAATCTGTGAAAACATGATTTAAAAACAGTGATAAGCAGTTAGTCAGTTACCCCTGCTGGTCCATCAGACAGTCATTCCCTGACACCCACCTCATCAGTTGTCAAACACATCTTAAAAAAATATCATAAATTACACAACTGAGTGGTGTGGGCCAACTGCCGAAGCTATAGAAAATAATCAGAAGCACCTCGCAGAACTTAAAGAGTATAAAATAAGAGTAAAGCCCCTTTGATTCCCTCATCGATACTCTCTCTCCAGACAAGGTGGGCTATTACATTGTACTGGGCATGCAATGCCAAGAGCCCAACATTCTCTGAACTTCTCTTAACCTGGGAGAAAGATCCTGGAACCAGGAGGCTACAAGAAGTCATCAGGACTGAGGTTAGCCTAAGCTCCTTCTAGGTTCATCACTGACTGTACCACTGAGATTTGGTGACCGGATTACCTACAAGCCTTCAAAGCACAAGGCAGCACTGATCTTGCTACGAAAATTAGGCTGCTGTTCCTCCAGCTCAAAATCTTTACTATGAAAGATTCTATATGCTACACAAGCTTTACTGTAATGTTTTCGCCAACAGGTATTAGATGATTCCAGTCTTTCTCCACAAAACATCAGCTGACATCAAAAGGCTTACCATTCTGCATTAAAGAATGGCAGTATTTAGATGAAAACTTCATTTCACTGATATGTGACATGATTATGATTTAATTCCAATCACTTCAATAACAATAAGATTTTATCAAGTCCAATCCATTGAAGTTAAATATAGTTTTCCATCAACTTGAAAAATGGGAAGCAAAATTACTTAAAAATGCCTAAAATACACAAAAGCACATTTGTAAACTATTAAGAGCTGACCCAACAAAGGGACATGTTGGTCAAATTTCTAGAAATGCAGGATATGTAAGGAAGGGGACAGTTTTGAAATAATGCCTCACAAATTTAATGTTGTTATTTATAATGCTGTATTACTCAAATAAAAAAAAGAAATGTTATTCAAACACAGTTACACTCCTCCCACCTTGTATCAGCAGAATACAGTCAGAATTAAGCAAACAAGATAAATTACAGTACAAATATAAGTACTGTGGATAGATGTTAGCAACACGCAAGCACTAGTGCTATAGTAACTTTTATCCATATACTAGTCTTACAGTTTCAAGTGCAACTTTGTAAGAGTTTACACATATATGGATTATTTAAATGAGCCATCTGTATCCTGTCATTTAGTGGAAAACAAAAAATTTGATGGGTAAATTTTTAATTTGGATCTCAATAGAAATTATATTGTCTGCTCAAAAAAGTCCAGATCTATCTGGAAAAAATAAATAAATTACTATTGCCAAAGCAACAGAATACCGAAACTGATTTGAGTGAAAGTTCATGGCAAGAAAAAAGCAAAGGTACTCCTATTAATCATAGCTGGTACTTAGCAACAAAAATTATTTAAAGCACTGGTGTTTTTAATCAAAACCTACCTTGTTAGGAAAACCTGCTCCAGGGAGATCAACCTGACTTGGATAGAATTTACGAACAGTGCCAATTTTTAAACATATCAGCTAGTGTGTGTTACTGAGACTTCCAACATACCATCATACCATATGTGGGGTTTTCCCCCCTTAGCAACAGTTTGTTAAAAAAACAAAAAAAATCCCACAAATGAAACAATAAAAATAAACACCTAGACAAGAATAGGCTTTACAAAAAATATCCATCATATTATAAAGCACCACAGCGAGAACACCATCAACATTTACAAAAGGAGGTTAAAACAGACTAAAGAACATGAACACAGACAATGTTCTGTTGTATTAGACATCTTATTTCACAGCTTGTGACCATTCAGGCAAACAAATAACTTGAAAAGACATTAATTCCTAGGTGCTTTATAACAGCCAAACAAAACGCAGAGATGGTATCTAAGTTGCTGTTTTATTTTGGGCTTCTGGAGGTTGTAAGTCTGTCACTACATATATGCATATTTTTAAATTTCAGTATACTCTTGAGAGTGCACTTTTCAACTAGGAGGAATTGACTAGTACCTGTCATCCTCCGGAGATGCATGCTGGATATGAATCCTGGGACTAGTAGGTCGTCTCCTCTCTAGCGAGGGGGACCATCTACCCCTGTTTGCCCGTTCAATAAAACAGGAAAAAAATAGGATATTTAGTTTGTGATAAAATAAAATATATGGGATTTGGGACTGGAAAAATACTCCAAAAAGTAATTAAATTGTGCCATTTAATTACTGTTTCTAGCAGTGTTCTAATCCCCAAGTATACTGCTATTTTGCTTGCTTACTACAGAAACATTACATTTGAAACAAAGAGAATGTGTGCCTAAAGATGCAGAATGTAGACCGATATAAATCTTTTATACAGTGTACCATTAAGTTTTCAAGTATTCTTAAATTCTTGACTATCTGAAAGCCTGTTATTCATGCAGTAAGTTGTAATTCCAGAGTAGAAGAGCTCTTTCAAGACCATATGATGGTCATTTTCTGTTGACTAATAGCTGGTATTTTGTTAAGCTCATCTCTCTAGCTCTATGCACTGAAAATTGTTTCTAAGTAAAGATGTAGGACTGAGAGTTATAACGACAATTTTAAGACATAAACTGACCCTTTTCTGGAACTCAATGAGAGAGTAAAGGTGAATAAATTAGCTACCATTAAGCTACACACAATTGTGTACAAGTACTGGGGTATTTTTTTTAATTAAAAAATATATATTGAAAGTGTGTGCAGTCAGTTTCCTCTTCTGTTCATTTCTCTGTATCCCAGCAGATTATGTTGTATAACTAAATTTAACTAAAAGGAACTGAATTATGAACGAAAAGTAGCGTATTACATGATTTTTTTCTTGAAAAAGCTCATTACATTTAGAATGAAATATACTATCCTACAGACTAGTGTTGCTTATTTTGTTGGGATATTGTGTGATTGTAATAGTACAAAAGTTTATGCATAACAATTTACAAAATCAAAATACATTGATTAATTTACAAACAGCGAAATGTCTATATAAACTCTGCACAACTAGATAACATTTCACTTTCTGAGGCATCCTTCCAGTCCATGTAATAAGGAAAAGGGTTTGATTTATGGAACATGCAAATAACAAAGGTTTCAAGGGGATTAGCATTGCTTGTACTGTTAGGTAGATTTTGCGGAAGTTTCAAGAGCAAATGTGCTGTTAGTAGTTAGATTCTTTTTCTTTCCAAAGCAAGAGTTAAAGAAAATGTTAACGCATCAGTGCACTCAGTCAAAGCCCTTAATATGCTGATATTCGCTACAAATATTAAACAGCATTTGACAGAATTAATGCGATTGTGCAGCATGAATTTTGAGAACATGCTCTCTTTCACTGAATGTTGAATAACCATGAGTCACAGTACATCACAGACAAACATGCAATAACCTGCTCCTTTACATGGTTGAAAAGAACTGGAAACACAATACGTTGCATACCTAATGTAAATAGCTTTTTTACTGTAGACGGTTTTAAATGTAAATGGTGATATTCAGCATAACTCTTAAGGCATGTAATATAAACACCTAATACTTCAGACTTACTAAAAAAAAATAGAAAAATCAGTGCGAAAACGGAACAGGTCGGTCTTAACTGGGTGAAGTGACAGCTCCACCTTCTCTGTTATCTATTTATGGGTAGATAACAAGTAACTGTTCAGCTTTGTATTTTGTTTAGGTGGTGGTGACCAGCTGAGAGGAAACATCCTGAAGATCTCTGAAAAGTTTGGTTCCAACTGCAGTGAAGTACCTCCAAGCAAATCTTTGCAGCTATGCTGACATGGTATTTTGTACACGAACTAACCCCTGCTGAGATCTCTGCTAGCCAGCCTCTCAGGATCCAAGCACAGTGCCGATCCATACAACTGCTCCAGTGCTAACTGATAATACACACAGCAATTGCTTACAAAATAAGGAACTTAGGAGGTAAATAAAAGCCACGCTACATACTATTAAGAAAATACCACTGGCAGGAATCATAAATTAATCTGGGGAAATGCTCTCATGATAAGAAACCATGCCTGAATCAGTTCCAGCACTGCATTTGAATCTTGTGCCTATGTGCTTTCCTGACTGGAGACTGGGAGTTGCAAATAAATTTCTCCATTCTAAAGAAATGGTATTAAATTTACAAGGGAAAAAGGAGAAATTTTGAGACAGGGTGAAAAGGACAATAAAAATTATACTAAAGGAATTAGTAGCAAGAAAAAACATTTTCAGTGTCATTAAGGGATACTTATGACCATATCATAGACTAATACATGCCTTGCGGATCATCGCAGGAACTTCAACAAAACAATCATTTTGAAAAAACCAAACCAAAACAATAGCTTGAAATAAATAGGAGAGTGAAAAAGAAGAGAGAGGAAAAAAGCAGGCATGGTGCAACTATATAAATATATTAGTTGAGGCTGGGTATTTTTGAGCATCCTACATGATACTATGCCAAAGAAATATATGAAGTATTAAGTTCTGTACCAAATCATTCCATTTACCAGAAATCTTTGGCAGGCATATGTCATATGTTTGCCAACCAAATTATATGGACCTTTCTCACTCAAATGATGAAGCTTATAGCTTCATCCCCTTATAGGGATTTTTTGTTGCTGTGATTTTGGTTTTGGTTTAGCGCGCCTAACAAGACTTACATATCCCAAATTCATACGTACTGCTAGAAGTATTTTTTCTGCTGGTATATGTGGGTCACCAAAATGACTTTTACTGGCAAAACAGCACCTTAAAAACCAGTAACCAATCTGAATGTTTCAAATGTCATGAAAGATATTGTGGTAATTTCTAGCAAACCATTGTCACAGAGAAAGAGGGGTCTACAGTCCATCAGTTACACAGAGCCAATACCATTTTTTAAAGAAATGCTCAAGTGAACCATTTTAACTCTTGGTCTCAAATACTATCTAATTTATACCCTCTGAGACAAAGGGCTAGGGAGGATAAGAGAAATAATTTTCAATAGGTGACAAAAATATTTATAATTTTGTGGAAGAAAATATTCAATGCCACATTTAGAAGTGTATCTTCATATTGTGAGGACTAAAAGTTTAACAGTTTATTTTAAAATAAATTCTACAATTCTATTTCAGGGGGGAAGAGGAAACACCATGAAAACAACTAATGATACCTTCAACACAGGTCCCTCAAATATAATGATAATAAAGTGGTGCAGTAGAGATTGGACTTCACAAAATCATATAGCATTTCCCTTTGCTACAAGTAGGACTGACTCTACACCTGACAGATATTTGTCTAATCTCTTCTTAGACAGCCTCCAGTAATGAAGTCAAGAAAACCTTTTCGATATCATATATTACAGGATTTCATGATAGATGCTTTCAAAAAAGCTTTCCTACTGTTTCAGATGAATTTAGGTTATTGTATTTTAAGTCCGTTATTCTCATGTTGTCCAGCACAGAAGTAAAATACTTTCTACATATTTTGACCTTAATTTTGCATTCTTCACTAAAGACTCCTCTATCATTACATGTAACTAATTACTAACCCAATGTTAAAGTGTAAGCAGATATAGTGGAGAATTACACCTTCTAAAATTAGCTTCCCCAAAATGCAGAAAGATTAATTTGGTGGGTTTTATACATTATATATAACATCTTCTTCCCAAAATTGGGCTGTATTGCACAAACATCACTTAGGTTGGAAGAAAAGAAAAATTACATCCTAAATTCTCTTTCAGAGCCACACAGATCTCCCTATTTTCAACAAAACCATCACGGAAAATTTGAATATGAATTTTGTAAAAAAGGGCTTTTCTGCATCCCCATGAAGTATCCCAAATTAAAAGCACACATTTAGGACTTCTAGAAGCAAGAAAGTAGAAGTTCAATAGTGATGGACAATTTTTTTTGGACCTGGCCTACAGATGATTTGGCAAAATAAGTTTATTAGCAGTAGAGGCCATTAACACAAAAAATCACGTTTTTATATATGAGGAGCTCGTGAAAAATGCAGTGTAGTGGCTATTGGACAGAGGTTGCTAGACATGAGTTATAAAGACATAAAAGAACTAGTTAACATCAACAACAGGTGTAATTTTGAGTATTTTTAACTAGACAGTTCACAATTGCCAGTTACTGTTTCAAAGAATATTCAACTTGATGGATGATATCTTGACATAAAATTACAAAATCTACTGCTCCCATGCATATATTATTAGGTTCCATGGCTGCTCATAGATGAATAAAGCTGCATATGTCTACCCACTTAGTTATTAATAAGATGCTACAAATTTTTAAAAAAGAAATCAAGAAAATCTTGAATTTCATTCTGAGTTGCCTTATTTCTGTCATAGGGTTTTTCTGTGTTTTTTTTTAATAAGCATGTATAAGTTATCTATGATATCTTGAGCTCAGTCTTTAGAAGAAGTAAATCAGTGTAGATTCAACTGAGATATTTCAGCATAACATTAGTCGCTCCTCTGTAAGAAGGGAACAACTTGAGCAAAGTTCCAATCAAGGAGCAGCGGAAAGAGAGGAAGAGGGAAGGGGAAATTTCACCCCAAAAAATTAGGAGAAACTTTATCTCAAAGTTATTTATATCCTTTCTTCACAGGTCCTCTCTCACAGTAATGAGAATGAGGCAACTGTCATAACTAATACGTCGTGGTTTGACAGACAAAGCAACTTTGCCTTATTAACCACCACACTAGTTGAATATATATTGTGCAGACAAAATCGGAATTCCACCATATTTCCACTGAATGGGAAGCTATTATTGAGTTTAGCGAAGCTAAAATCTCACTTTAAAATGATACAGTTCTTAGCCAAAAAACACAGGTGGTTATGAAATAATTCCCTTGTGGAACAATCCCATCTGTCAAACACATCAGTGTAATATTTGGTTCACCTATGATTTTGAGCAAAGTTATTGTGATATTGAAAATTTAGAAAGCATCCATAAAATGCTTGCATCCAGTATGTGATATGACACTATTTATTTAAATTGCAAACATGTTTTCTTAAGACTTATGTGAGCCTTAATATAATGTCATAGAGTGAAAAAAAACATAATGCAGTGATTTGCCTTGTATTTGCAAAAGCAGATACAGCAGATTAGATTAAGAAAGCAATGAAGTTTGGCTGTTTTGTAGAAAATACATCACTACACAAACTACAGTTCTGGTTTGAAATCTGAAAGTTTTGTCAGAATTTATAAATCATGTCACCGCCTTATTAGCAGTCCACAGAACAGGCAACAAACAAACATAATACTTTTTAGCAAATGATGATGAAGATTAACAACCAAGTGGCATTTTGTCAAAATACTTGACACTGCAATGCTATTATCAGCATACTGAGGACTTTTGTAAGCAATGAGATCAGCTTGAAGTAAAACAAGGAAAGAAGCCAGAAGCAGTTATAAACTCCAACACGCAATTTACATGACATACATGAATAGCAAAAATGTCTACAAATACCAAAGCAGACAGGAATGTACAAGAATGTAGAGTACTCATATGAAGAAAAACAGAACTGATAAAGATCACCAGCACAGATGATAAGAAATTCGTAAGTTTTTATTTTATACCTTTCTCGTTCTGGTGAATGCAAACTAGTATCTGGTCTCAAGCAGTTGGTACTAGCACTCCTAGCCCTGTCAAGGGAGGGCTGTAGTTCACTAGTGCCAGTGCATTGCATCCAATGGTAGAAGAGAAAGAAAAAGAAAACAAAGAAAGGAATACAATGTTAGATATTAACTAATAAAATAATGCTCTCTTTACAAAAAATGTAGAATCACAATGATTTAATTAAGGAAAACGTAAAAGAGCTGACTGGATGACAGTGCTGAGATTTGTTTAGAAAATAAAAGCAAACAAAAGACTGCTAGAATTTTTTTTGCTAAATCATTGAAATGTTTCAAACTGAATGAGACAAAACAATACTCACTTGTAAGAAAGTGGAATGAGAAATATCAAACAATAAATTTAAATCCTTATTAACAGCAGTAAATCTTAAGCCAACATAAAAGGATGTGATACACTATATATTATGTGAAATCTCTTTACAGTGAAGCTCATTTATTCTGCAAATCCATATTAAATACCAAAAACAGGAGGGGAGATTAATCCTCAGTTTCTTACCTAACCAGTAGATCATCTCCAAATTTCAGTATTCGTGAATTAAGGCAATCACGAAGGAGTGAAATATCCTGTCTAATCACAGATTTGGTCTTAGCACATGCAGGAAGAGTTGAGCTTTGTAAATTAAAACTATTTAAACAAAATGAAAATAAATCTGACATGTAACCAAAATCTTACACATAAATAAAAGAATGTAACAAAGGAAAACATGCAACAGATAATTTTAATAGTGAAGACATTCTACCTAACACAAAGTGGTTTGGGTTTTGGTTTTTTTTATAATGTAGGGGTTAATTTAAACAGTTATATGAAGTTAATTTAAAATTTTCTCCCTTATCTCTCAGTTATAAAAACTGTATGAAACATTTTTTTTATCTTTTTATTTACCAGGGCAAGACTAGTTACTTTTTAAAAAAAGAACTAACTACTTAAAGGGGACTCTAAACACTTCTTACCTGTACAGGTTCCAATGAGTACCATTTTCTAGTAAAGGCATCTTGGGTGGTAATGTTTTATAGTGCCTAACAGAACTTCTTGAATGTAGTGGAACAGAAAAGAAATCAGAACAACACAAAAACATGCCAGAAATAAAAAGACAGGCAAAATTAAGCTAAGATTGGACAGAATATAAAACGAATGCATAATATTCTACTATATTTAATACCTGTATGCATAGATTTCTCAATATAGGTTTTTGTTAACTACCGTGACAGCTATCTCAGGGCCAAATTTTTGTATTCACACTTCCGTTAATATAGTCCATGAACTCTAATAGTACTAGTACAGCTCAGATTTTTCCCTTGTAATTAATCTAAATTCCATTTATAGAGATATTTAATTAAAATAGATAAGCTAGTGTAAAGGATTATGATATTAAACTTGCTGTTTGTGGACGTACTCTACTTGGACCTACAGAGCCTTTAACCTCTTCACTAGCTAAGCATGAAAAGCTTGCTAGAACAGTGATATATAGTATCACAAACTGAAATGTAAACGTATTAGCACCTGGCATTTTTGAATGTGGAAGTCTTGTTAATGGTGTATTGACTTCAAAATCTAACAGTAATTAAATTCAAACTAAAAAATCTTGGAGATCTACTACATCACCCAACACAGCAGCACCCTGAGATGTTACATGACAACCTTCTAATATCATCAACTACAGTACATAAGATTTTAGAATAGGAAATGTTTGCTTTTTTATCCAGCACTACCCAAGGAACAAGGGTGAAATTTTAAATGTCTGCTGAATGGGAATCATGGCCATTTAATAGTTAAGGGTTAACAACCGAGTTACACCAATTCTGTGCACAACCTACTAGGACACAGGGACCTACTGGAGAGAGTCCAATGGAGAGCTACGAGGATGACTGAGGGACTTGAACATCTCTCCTATGAAGAGACTGAGAGAACTGGGGGTGTTTAGTCTTGAAAGGAGATGGCTGAGAGGGGATCTTATTAAAGTATATAAATATCTGAGGGGTGGGTGTCAAGGGGAAGGGGACAATCTCTTCTCAGTGGTGCCCAGCAACAGAACAGGAAATAACGGGTTTAAGTTAGGACATAGGAAGTTCCACCTTAACATGAGGAAAAATCTCTTTACTGTGAGGGTGACGGAGCACTGGAACAGGCTGCCCAGAGAGGCTGTGGGGGCTCCTTCTCTGGAGATTTTCAAAACCCTCCTGGACGTATTCCTGTGCGGCCTGCCCTAGAGGATCCTTCTCCAGCAGGGAGGTTGGACTAGATGATCTTTCAACGTCTCCTCCAACTCCAAACATTCCATGATTCTATGATGCTGTGACACAGTTGCAGTGCTATTAGCAGAAGGACCAGCAGCCTTGAGGATTTTGCAACTTCAGGAGCAGTCTGGCCTAACAGGACATTCTGATTCCTGTTAGGCCTGGGACCTAGGCACAGCAGATCAGTGCTGCAAACCTGGGTGTGTCACTCTCGGCCTGGAAAGCCCAGGGTTTGTAAAACCCAGAGGGATTTAACAGAGGAGCTTCGACTGTTCTTCTCCAGACCTAGTGGTCATCAATGCTGACAGCTCTACCCAAGCTTGCTGTGACATTAAAAAGTTGGAATAAAGGAATGGGGTTGTCAATCCTGGTGTGCCAGCAGATATTACCAAATCACAGTGGGTGTGATCCAAGACATGGAATGTCCATGGCACAGGTACATGTGTGCTTCCACTGTTTCTGCTATTAGTCAAGGACTGCATACAGATGGACAGAATGGACAGCTAAGACTTGTGTTATTCTAAACTGATGTATTAAACTTTGTAGCTTGGACTATCTCTTATTAATATTTCTTTCATTTACCATGAAGCCCCTAACATTTCTTTCACGTTTTAAGCTGATTAATTTAAAACATTATTCAGCAAGCTGTAAAGCCTTATATTGTTTCTAACATGAATGTCAGGCCACTACAAATGAGGAAGGACAAAAGATTGCAACCAATGGGAAGATCAAATTTTTCTTGAAAGGGTTTTTGAGACTGTTTAGTGAAGGATGGATACTGGTAATTTTCTGGGTATTATTCAAACTTGGATTAGGCTGTATAAGCCTCAGAGTTAAATTTAAAAATCAGTCTATTGTCTTCTATTACCCTCATATTCATCTTCAGTACATTATTAAGAGTATCATTCTGTTTTTAGTATACCGCTATGGTTAGTTAAAGAGATGAGTTTGTTACTTTTCTTGATCATAAAAAAAAAGTAATTTTCAGAATAAGGAAAAAGGCAAGAAAGGGCTGCACTCTCTTAATTCAGTGTAGCTCTTACCTGATTTTATTCTTTCTCATGCGCACCTTTTAGCTGATTAACTAACAGAACTGGCTAGTAGATTTGTAAAACCATCGGAAATCTACAGTGACTGCGTAAAGTGCATCAAAAGTTCATAATGCAGTATCTTTGTCAATTAAGTGAGAATTTAAGCACTTGTCATTGAAGAATTTTAATGAAAATGATAATCTTTAAGAGGGAAAGGAATAAGCACAGAAATGGAGTGAAACTACAGAAAATGCAGCAGACAGCTAAAGGCCATAGGAAGAAGGCTGGAAAAATTGCTATCATACGACAATAAATAGACACAAAATAGTGAAATGAAACCTCTAAAACCTAAACTGGTTAACTACTTCAACCTACATTTTTACTATTTTTAAATTGAAGAATTTCTACACAATTTGACATGCATTTTTAACAAAATTAACAGGCATGGCAGGGGAAAAAAAAAAAGGAGGAGACATTATTAGATTTGTTAGATAAAGATATTTCATTTCTGTTTAGTGTCACAACATTGGGAAGAATCAAGACAGGGAACCTTGGAATAAGAGATTAATGAAGACTGAAAACGAGCCGAAACTACAAAGTTTATGCCTGGATCTGATTTGTAGAATGATTTGTAGAAGCAAATCAAGTAACATGAGACCACTCAAGTCTGGGGTTCCCAGTGAGTTCCTCACTGAGCCCTGTTCTTTCCTCTACCAGTGACCAAAATCAGTAACGGATTTGGTGTCACAACAAATAAAGATTATTGGCTTGTGCATGGCTGTAACACAAACATAAAAATGCAAATAAAAGAAAACATAAGAACAACTAAAAAGGATTATAACTAAAAAGGATTATAAATTATAACAACAGACATGCATTGGGACATCAGAACTTCTGTGACTAGACAGAAGATATCTTCCACGAAATACAACTGCAAAATCAGAACCTTTTCAGCTGCTTTAATCCTTTCTACTGAAGATCACAAACACATATACACATCTCGATCTGAATTAAAATGAAGAAAAAAGTGCTGACACCTGGCTCACAATGTGCTGGGAAGTTATTTACTTACTGGGGCTACAAACCTCTATGGAAAAAAGTTGGGCACACGAAATATAGACAACTAACCAGATGTGTCGATGATTACCAAATTCCTGTATTTACCTGATGGTATGTAGGCACTCTGCACTTCTTCCTCGTTTTGCTCTGGGCAGCATAAGAAGCTCACTGCACAGACAGGATGGGTGGTGAGTGAAACAGATATAATAATGAAGCATTAGATGACATGGGTTATGCCAATGATAAGCAAATGAAAACATAAAAAGAAACAAGAAGCTTCCACCCAGATACATAGTCCGAAAATGTTCAAACCCAGACTTGCTCTTCTCAAAGGATATGAGCCAAAAAAATGCCTGTAATAACTACATTTTCAACAAATTCCGCTTAGGGTAGCATCTAACTGTGTGGGATTTCTCCTTTTAAAATTCAGGACTATTTCAGAGCTTTTCACCACAAAAGGAATCCACAAACCAATTATATTTATCTAGTAATCTCCTTTCTCTTGAATTATTGAAGAAATACTTAAGAAAAAAAATTTGAAAGAATTATGCTTCTTGTTTGTTTTGAGGGTTTTATTTTCTTCCTAAAACACACCAAAAAACCCCCATGAAAAACCTGGGAGGGTTTGCTACGAATTTACTGCAGATTGGTTTATGGGAAAGGTAACCAGTGACCCTCTTGTGAAAACCAAAACTACATGTTCACTGGAAAGCTTACGTTTGGCCAAATATAAATTCTGACTCATAGCTCTTGACAGTATTTTCCAAAGCAATTCTAAAGAAAAAAAATTGCTAATCAGCTAGACTTTTTGTTTCTTATTGTTTCCAATGGAGAAAATCAGCTGTCTTTTCTATTTTTAATCTACTGTAACCCAGCACATGCTACAGTGAGCAAGATGATTAAATTAATACATATTTATGCCTATGGTAAATATGACTATGATATGAAACATTCCCTGAATTAACCTTGGAGTTTTACACACTTCAACACAATTAGAAAGACCAAGTTCCAAACCTACTAAATACTGTAAATATGAAATTAAAGCTAAGCTTCATGGAAACATGTTATTTTAAAAGAAGTAGAGATTCATATGAAGTACTATGGCGACAAAGAGAGAAAAGATTATAAAATAGATGAAGCAGCAGTTGTTCAATGTGTTTTGTACTTCATGTCATTACAAAATGGCCCATTTAATTGATGCTGTATAGTTAATATTAATCTAAAATTCTAAACTGGCCGCTTGAAATAATAGCTTTTGAGTCACATGTGAGACTTAACTTTGCATCCGGATCCACTGGCCCTATTTTGATGCAAAAAAAAAATGTATTCAAGTTGAACTGATTTGTTGATTTTTTAAAGGAAAAATTTCCATGCATAAGCTCAGACGACTGATAGAATTTATATGCATATTTCCAAGCAAAAATGAACACACATTTTAGGAAAAAAGGTACCATTTTTCTTAGAATTTGTGAAGTAGATAAAAAATCCACATTAAATCATATTGTATTTCATTGATATTTACTCTACCTTTGCTAAACCAGAGTATCTATTGTAATTGGCCCTCAGCAAACAGTAATATAAAATTCATCCAGAAAAAGAATATAAAATAAATCCACCGTGAAATGTTGAAGTTAAAAAACCCCTCAAGAAAGAATAAAAAAAGAAAAGAATCCACCACAATAGATTACCAATATAAGGAGATACTCACACTTTTGTAATAAGTGTGGTCTGGAGACACTTAAAGATTATTATTCTAAACTGAGTGTTTTCTAATGTGACCATTTTAGTGCATTAATGGATTTTGGTTAGGAAAAAAAGAAAATACTAAAAAATAAAAGGGCCATGCCCTTGAAAATTGGACGATGATGCTACATTCAGAGCAAAGTACATTGTTTAGCTAGATTTCCTAATAAAAATGTTTCCTAATGGATTTATATACATACACGTGTATATATGCATTTAAGTATGTATAAAAAGGTAAAGTGGACAAATCAGTTCCACTGGAAATTTATCACATCAGATGTTTTAGTAAGAGACAGCAATATCTACTTTTATAAAGATCTGCTCAGAATATTCAATATTAATTTGGAATCAATAACAGATCAAGAAAATGATCATAAGTAATTATCAACTTTAATTTCTACCATGTAACTATCAGGTAATTACTCACCTTTCAGTCAAAGTTTATATTAGATAACTACACAAATATATTTGTTTAGATGAAGAATTCAGTAAATGAACAACACATAATAGACTACTCTTTCTAATACTTCCTTATACTGCTCTTGCTAATAATAATACTGAAGAAGGATTATTTTTTTAATAATCCTTGTGATAGAGATGATATGATAGAGAACTTTCCTCAACAAAAGCTAGTTTTGATTTTCCCTATGGTGCCACTCTTATTTACTGAAAGACAATGATGCCTGCAAGAGTTCAACAGTCTCCAAAACTGAAGAAATCTGAGGGAAAGAAGAAAAGGAAAATGGGAAAAAAGAGACCACTGCAGACAAGATTATTACTCAGGAAATACTCAAGTACATGGACCTGTCTTTAAGTCCTGCAGATAAGCCATGTCCTTCACGTCTGATCTTTAAACTTCTGAAAAGCATTTTCTGAACATGGAAAAAGAATCGAAGGTTGTAACTTACTCCTCCAAACAAATCCAGCAGCCCATTGCTGCTGATGGCTCTGCTCTGATGACTCGCCTGCAAGAAAGCCTCAGTGCAAGCCCTGCTCTCCAAGCATAATCCATGCATGTATCATCATTTATATCACGGTTTGAGGCTTTACTGGAAGAAAATTTTCTAGACAGTTAATTGTCTATATTTATTTCTACTGAAAAAAATACTTTTTAATATCTCTTCCTCTTCAGATCTGATGAATAAGAAATCTGTTCAATAAATATCTCAATACTTACTAAATATATCAATACTTAAATAATAACATGAAACGTTTGCAACAAGTAGAAATTACTTAAATTAGCTTAACTGTAAATGTGACTACTGCTTAAAAAGCATTTCAATCTAACTCTGAAAGGAAATTCAGTACTACAATCCAACTTAGACAATTTTAAAATGTTCCAAATAGCTCATTAATTCCCATATATGTTATCACATTCTAAAAGCAAAGTAGGCAAGATCATATACAAAATTGAACTAGTTTAACTGCAAAAGCCATCTGTTATTCAATTTCTGTGTTGCTTCAAAACTGGACAAAGAGTTCCAGAGATTTTTGTGCTTTACTCTTTACACATTTTCACATCACTGTGAAATGTAAGTTCTATATGGAATTTACTGATCCTTATTCATAAAAAAAAAGTAACTTACTGAAAAAACATATAATTCAATTATATTACTAGGACAAATGAACTTATATGAATGCTAAATGTTTGCCATTATAGTTTAGCTATAGGATTTTTTGGAAGTAAACAGTGCACAAACATTGATAATCTATGCGACTGCTATCATTCTATTTCCCAACTATGGAACTGAAATACCTTTCTAAATAAAACTGAAATAAAACTGAAATACCTTTCTTCAGCTACAAATTAATGAGAAATTTGCATTTCCTTCTGTTTTATTAGAATATATTCCTATGTACCTGAAAAAAAACCACCTACCAGTAAAGAACAAGCATTGTCTGAAGAGTGAAGCCACTGCCTGTATTCCAGGGAGAGATGTGTACATGTCAAACATCTAAGATGAGATTTTTTGCTAATTACAAGCCCTGCGACTATCCTTGCTATGCTTGCGTACTGTACCAAGACCACCAGAAGGTTATGTAAGATGCTGTGAGACTGCAGATATAGATGTCCAAAATCTATAAGCACAGGGATGCAAATCATAGCATGTACAACTCCCAAGTAGTAGGAATGCATGACTGGCATTTCGATGGCTACTGAAACAGATAAATTCTTAGTTACAAGAAGAGCTAGGTCACACGTGTAGATTTATGGTTTTCTGGGCTTCATTAATGAAAAAGAAACAGAGAACACTCTAGGACAAAGACCCAGGAGCCTTTAGTCTAGGTACCTGCTATTTCTGTCAACTCAGCATATTGTTTTACCAAAAAAAAGGTATAGATAATTTAACCATGACAATAGATTTGTCAGTTAGGATGAGTTTTCTCCCTTCCCCATTACTATCAGTTGTGTTTCTACTGAATACCTTAAAATTAGGCAAACCAACAAGGGTGCTGCTAAACTTTTTTCCAAGTTCAGGCTGACAATGTACCTTTCTTGATCAGACAAATACTGACTATCCACATCTCTGGATCTGTAACCAGCTGGAGTTCTGGAGGCATCATGGTGTCTAGTTGGAGAACGTGATCTTCTCATTTGATGAATTTCATCTAAACTCCTGAAAGGCAGAAATACATATTATTTTTCTCATAAATAACACAGTCTAATGGATTACAGTACAAGTTAGTTGAAGGAAGTATGACTTTAAAAAAAATACCTCTAAATATAGAAAGCCACCATTTCTGCCATATTTAAAAGGACATGCCTGCTTCTGTATATGCTGATGGAATCAGCAATGGCATTTTCAAAATGTGCACTTAAAGAATAACTGACATAACTCAAGAACTGATAGTACCTCACATTAAATGTTTTATGCATTTGTAGATTCATAGGCAGATTTGTAAAGGGCTGGTTTGGGGCGGTCCGTTACTTGCAGGTGTCTCCAAGTATTCTTTAAGACATTCTGGGATAGGATACAGTAACTTACAGCAGATTTTATCAATCTCAGACTAAGTATTATATAAAAGTGGTGTGATTTTGTATAAATGCAGGTAAGTTCTGATCACCATGACTGCAATTTAAGAAAAGAAGCTACTACCTGAAGGGTAGACTCTTCCTTTACTCTAATAACTGTCAGTCGCACAAGAAACATTAGTTTTTCAAGGTATAAAATTAAAGGATTAGTGCAACTGACTATGAAATATTTTATTTGTGCATTGTGCTTCTAGATAGAAATATACAATGAGAGCACATATAATTGTATGCCAAAGCAGAATGAGGAGCTCTCATTTTCTCTACTATATGAAAAAAAAGCCAGTGACACAGTGTGTTTTACATACAGTTGCACTCTTTTATCTGTTAAGCATTCATTACTGAGGAATGCATCAGCAAGTGACTGAGTGTGTAGTGCAATAGCTTCATCTGTAAAAACTGATGTAACAGGGGGATGCATGCAGCGACTTAAGAAACACAAAAAATTTCAATGTGCAGGAAAAGTGTGTGCGGCATAGATGATAGACAACCCTTTCAAAACATTACAGTTATCTGGTGGAACATTAAATGATGGAACTGTAACACAGAATTTTGTACACAAAATTCAGCTAAGAAGGGTAGATATTCAGTAAAGTACCACAGCTAGTGGGCATTAATGTTGCTAGTGCAACACTCCAAGCTCCTGCAGTATTTCAGGAACAAATATTCCTAGAAATTGGAGAAAAGGAAAACTGGTAAAAACTTGCTGATTTTTAGGGTACCATGAGAGGCTGCAAGAGAAGCTTATTGCCCTACACAATACAAGCAAATCAGGGCAATGAAGCTGGTGAAGGACCTGGAGAATAAATCTTATGAAGAGTGACTGAAGGAGCTGAGGTTTAGTTTGCAGAAGAGGAGGCTGAGGGGAGACTTCATCACTCTCTACAACTACCTGAAAGGACATTGTAGAGAGGTTGGTGCTGATCTCTTCTCAAAGGTAATTAACGATAGAACAAGAAGGAATGGCTTCAAGGTGCAACAGGGTAGGTTTAGACTGGACATTAGGAAACATTTTTTCACAGAAATAGTAGTCAGACGTTGGAATATGGAGGTGGTGGAGTCACCATCCCTGGATGTTAAGTCATTTAGACATGGTGCTGGGGGATATGGTCTAGGGTTGAGCTTTGCAGAGTAGGGTTAATGGTTGGACTAGAAGATCCCAAGGGTCTTTTCCAATCTGAATGATTCTACGATTCTACAGCACTAAGCAAGGAAATGAAAAGCTCAGGAAAGGTTCTCCTACTAACAGGTTTTCTATCAAAACCAGTAAATGCAAAAAAAAAAAAAGAGGTTTATAAATCTCTATGTGATCACTTCTTCCATTAAAACTGTGATGTTATAAATACAATTGGTAATTTCAGCTTGCTTGCTGTTACTTCAAAATTAGTTCAATCTATAGTTATTATATGATTTGATGCTACTGTTTTGTTATCCTACAAATATACTTAGGTGGCTTTGCACAAGAACCAGCCGCTGAGTGCAAAATCCATTTCCAACCTTATGTATTGGTTATGGTAAAGAGATGACGAATCACAGAAAATACTAGTAAGAAAAGCTAAGTGTTACAAAACTACAATTCACCTGATGAGTGCTCTTTAATGATTAATAAAAAGTACATATCAAGTTCAAATACTACACTATTAAATCCAGATGCAAAAGAAGGTTTTAAAATTGTGAAAAACTGCTGAACATGAGAAAAGTTAACAATGGCAGATTTCACAAACTTGAACAGCTTCACAAATTTGAGCCGCTCATTATTTCAGTACCTTGTGATGCCTACCTCTGTAATGGCACATTTGGTAAACGTGAACGGGTCCTGCCCTGATCGTCACCACGGTGAGGAGATACAGATCGTGAGCGATGATGCGTTGTTCTTTGCTGTTCCGGCACAGTTAGCGTTGTCGATTTACCTTCTCTAGTGCTAGATCTATAGGCTACTGACAAGAGGGCAACAAGAGGAAATTAGAGAGAAGAAGTCTGGATTTGGAAAGAATTCAGATGGTTAATCCTTCCAGGAACACACATCTAAATGCTTATGCAACTTTCAAGTCGTCATTCAGCTGTTTTACATACCAACGTACCATGGATAGGATAAATTACTAGCATTTCCTTTAAATATCTACACGTACAGAGACAGAGAAACTGAGATGATTTTCATTATGTACTGGAAGATGTGCAGGAGAGGGCTGAAATAGTTTTCCGACTTGATGAAGAGCACCCAGAGTAACTTGTATCTCAAAATTGTCATACAGTAGCAAATATTTGAAAGGAAACCAAGCAATGTAAGTTTACCTCATCTAGCAAATGGAGGAGGCATTCTTGTGTGTGACACCACAGATTCATCCAGGACTGCCCATATATAAAGCAGCCTTCTGTTAAATACAACTAAATACAAAGATGTTCTCCTACCTAACTTGGCCAAAGCCACCTACTTTTAAAAATATATTAACATTTAGAGTATGGTGTCAAATATTCAGTGATGCATACTCTGCAGAACATTTTTTCTAAATACCATGAAATAGCTGCAAAGTTCATTTTGAGTTTTAAAAAAAAATAAAAAACCCCACAAAAACCAGAAACAACCCCCCCCCAGCAGAATGTTAGTATATTCTAAAGTGTTGATATTCCTGTGCCTTTTTCCATGTAGCACACTGTGGTGTTATATGCTTTGAATCCCATCCTGAAACAGACAACGAAGGTCAATAAGATGAACCACTTTCAAAAGGTGCTTGTTATCTTTCCAAAAGAGCCTAAGGATATTTGCTTAGACTTCAGTTTCACAATTATAGATATTTAAATTGGATTACAAGAATCCCTTGGCAGAAAAACCCTTAATGACAGAAAGGGTCATCTCTTAAGTCATCCCTTAATGACTTTGTAAATTATCATTTAGATTCTAAAGGAACAATTTTGCTGCTTCTCTTAATTTGTCTAGCATTAAGTTCCTGTAGTGTGTTATTTCGCTCACCTAAAAAAACAGCCTCTATCAGAAATCTTCTTCCCATGTAGGAAAAGATTATGATTTAGACAATTGTCAACTTGGTAAATTAAAGACCTTGCACTTCTTAAGAATATTGTTACAGAGTTTGAAGCTTACAGTTGGTGGTTGTTGTTTTTTATTAATAATTTGTATAATTTTTGTAGTTTTTCTTCTATCCAACTGTCATAGCCCTCTTAAAAGTGTGACCCATATACAGAATCTGTCCTTGGCTTGGTAAGGTATTCAATCACACTGAAGGACCTGTTCAGCTCCAGGTCTGAACCCTGATCACAAACATCAAGGAAGCATTCATGCTATTTTCCCATATTGTGCATCATTTTACCCATGTATTCTAATGGACAATTAATTTATCTTAATACATTTTCTCTTTCTCAGACTGGAATGAAAACACATTATTAAAACAGTTGTAATTCTAAAATAAGAATATCTTCCACCATAGCCAAACTATCCAGGAAGCGATACCTGAAACTTGTGCATTGTGCATACACAAAGCTTACAGAACAGACAGAGAGACAGCAATTCACATTTATTTTGAGTAAGTATTAGCTCAAGTATTGTCAGGTTGGTCAAATCACATCCATACATCCACAGTGACTGTGACAGTGACAGTAACAGTAACGTTTCCTCATATCCTCCAATACAAAGGCTCTGTGTGTGCTCTCCAGAGTGAGCAGAGAATTTTTTTTTTTTTTGCATGGACCAGCACGACAGCAGCAATCAAGCACACAGGAGTTTATGCAGAAGAAGTTTCTCAGTTGCTCATGGGAAACTGTCAGGTGTGACATGAAATGGGAGCTGGATGGATGATGCAAATGGATCTAGCAAATGTTTGATACCAGAACTTATTTCTTTTTTTTTTTCTCTGAAAGACAACACAGACAATGACAAGATGTTGTGTTGACGTCACACTGCTGCTACAAGAGGAAGGTTAGTACAAGGCTATCATTTATACAGATTACATGATAGAAAGGTACACTGTTCTGAAGAGTTACCTGTAGCATAATGCAGCTGATTAAAAATTGCCAAATTGTATCAGCTTTTTTTTCCTTTTAGTTAAGAAAATTACTACAGTTTTGGTTAAAAATACAGGCTTCAAAACATGTTCATTTTTATTAAATCTGTTACTGATCATTTACTGACCCTTCTATATACTTAGCATTGGTGAGGCCACATCTGGAGTACTAGGCTCCCCACTACAAGACAGTACCAGTTACTGGTCTGACTCCAGCTCAGAATCTCAAAGATAATTAAGAGATTGGAGAATATCTCATATGAGGAGAGCCTTGGAGATTTAAAATAATATTTTCTTCATGTAAATAGATGAGGGCACACCACAAAAACTTGTAAAAAATCAATTTTGTTAAAGCTGAGCTTCGAATTAAAGATACTTCTAGCTATTTATATAAATTCCTTTTATGAACAGTTCTATGAGCTGATTTAAAAATATATATATATCACTGCAAGATACTAATAATAAATGAGGAAAGTAGAATTATATGAAAGATACATTTGTGATACGACAAGGGAAAAATACTTTTCTTTAAATATTCTTGAAGATATCTTAGTGCCATTATTTTTGGTGTAGCAGTCTATTTCCATTGACAGGCAGGAAGTCTTTGCATTTGCTGAAATTTCAAGGACGATGGTTTTCTCTGATGTTACTAAAAGCTAATACTGCATTTGCCTTAGCAATTGGTAAAACATTTGAAATTATAGTTCTAATGATTTCCATTGTTAGTTAAATTAGCCAAAATACTTTCATCATTCCTTTTTTAGCTTATGGTGGTGATCATGTGAACTTTTGTGCTTTTACATTTTGCAGTTAAGTGTCTGGTCTCTAGAGAATGAGCAACAATCTTTGTGAAAATCTTGAGATATTAATAAATCAAAATAACTTCTTTCTCTTCTGAATATTTCAAGAAAAAGAAGCAATTAAAACATGTAGGACCATACTTTTAATAAAGAGAGTGTTGATTTATCACATGTATGTGCCATGGTGGGTGACATTAGCAAGTAAGTGGTAGAGGAAGGAAAAGAGGCTTTAAAGGGAAATATTTTTTTTGTGTGTCACGTGTTGCAAACTCACTTTAAATATTGTTACTTATGTTGAGAAGGAATATCTTGATCCTAGACTAATCTAGTTGAAGCCAATAGAGTCTATGCCAAAATGGTCTAAGACTGCACTTGAACTGCATTATCATCCTACATTATGGGAAAACATGGATATCCATCGTTCCTTCCCACACATATACCTTGCAGGAGAACGTATGGGAAATCTGGACCAGACAAGAGTTGCCGTGCCCCCTATTTGTGAATCTGTGCCTAAAACTCTCAAGCAATTTAGTAGATGGTGGTGGGACTGGCAATCTTTTCCAGCTCTCACTGCAAAACATATTTTCACATGCTGTCTAGGCTATCATACATGCTTGGCTGATAACTGAAATTTTCTTTGCCCCTGTATCCCTAAAGTCTAACCTCCATGTAAGAATTCAGGTTGCAGGTACAAACAAACCCCCAGGCTTACATGTATATCCACTTGACATAGGAATCACACATAGGTGAACTCCACTTAAAATTGCCAAACAAATGTATCCATTAAAATCAAAATAAACAAATTTGTGCTTGACCAAGGCAGCTGCTAGATTGTTTCTGATTAAGGACTTCAGAAGGAGCTTCCTCACAATGCCCTTCAAGTTTCGAGACTCTCACCACATTGTAAATCCTATTGCTACAGATTAAATCTGGCCATTTTTCATCGTTGAGAAAGTTTGGACCCATGTGTTCTTCAAAGGCACACTTGAGCATTCATGGTCCCAAAAAATTACCATAAGAATCAGTTACTCAAGTGCTGACCCAGTGAACCGAGCCCAGTGCATTCAGCTGAACATTTATGAATGTTTCCTGTCAGATGGAAAATAGATTATTTCAAATAGCAAATAGATGCCTTGAAGAATTGTCAGCAGAAAAATGCCCCAATTCTTAATATAAAATACTGAAACTTTAAACACAAGTAAGTCTAGACAGATATGCCAGTTGATGTAAAAATAGCAAGATTAATCACATTAAGACAAATATCAGTACTAGACACACTAGAACAAATTTTACTCTTACTAACTCAGATGGTTAGCGTATTAAAGTAAGGAAAGAATCAATCAACAGCAAAGGAAGGAGAGTTTGGCTCAGTGAATATCCAAATGATATTGCATTAATAAAATGTGATTTATTGGTATGTTTACATAATGAAAAAATAAATTGTCAGATTATTTTAAACTCAGATCAGGAAGATAGAGAGTTTTCTAAATCCCATTGTTATCTAATTCAGCACTTCTGGTCAGGAAGATCCGCAGAAAAATTAACTTAGTGCTGGCAGTGACATACTGACTCTTCAGTTAGTTTGGGACAATTGGGAAACATTCGTCTGACTTGTGGCAACAGCCAAATAAAAAAAATGTGGTACCCAAAATGATCCTCAAGATTTTCAGTATGTAAGGAATGCTGAACTAAAAGTCAAACCATGACAGTCTCTACAAGCATATAACTTATAAACATTTAGGGTAATGATAGTTCATGAAGGCTTATGAAAACTATAAAAGATAGAGCCATGCTACATGCATCTTCATCTACAACCATGCATTCTCAATAAAGTCCATGGGAGACTGCATTATATCTAAGTTTCAAGCAAAAAGCAAAGTACAGAAAATGTTCGCAATAAACTAAGATCTTAATTACTATTTCAAAATGATTTAAAAATTTAATTTGTATTTTAAATAATGCTTGCAAAAGTATGCATAAACAATTAAAAACAATTTAAACCATCCGGTTTGCATATGAAGAATGATAAATAAAAGAAATATCAATGAATGAATAATAGAATCATTTAATTCATCATGATTTAGGACAGGTATCATGGAATAATTGGGAAAACTGTTTGTTTCACAATGCACTCTCCGAAGCCAGTATCCTCAATATTCCAAATGTTATAAAGGAAAACAAAAACCAAACAACAAACAAGCAAACAAAAAAGGAAGAAAGCAGGACCATGCTGTTCACCCACGCACCTGGAGGAACAACTCCAATACCATCATCAACATCATAATCTGAGATGTCACTATCACTGATTGGCCGAGATCCTGTACAACAGTAAGGTAAACAAATACCTGAACATGTGCTCATATCATAAAATGTAAAAATATGTTCATTTAATGTACTACTGAAATTAAAAAAGATGATTTTAAGTCTAAACAATACAGGAGGAGAACTAAACTGCACTGACATTTCGCAACACAGCTAATTGCAGCCTCCTTTCCCGTTCTGCCCCCAAGTCCTCAATGATCCTCCACTATGACAGTTTTCCTCACTAAACCAGTAAAAAGTTAAATAAAGAAAAAAAAAGGCACTTTTGTGCTATTTCAGTGAATAAATTGAATCAGCTTAATGAACAGGAAAGGAGAGGTGGCAGCATATTGTGAGAGAGGGGAAGAGGAAACAGCACTGCCAGCTTTTAGAAAAGTTCAAGTATCTCATGAAGACTAGCCTTTGATTTGCTTCCTCTATAAATAACCTATTGCTGCAAATACAGCACTATTACATTTTTATAATTCATTCCTGAATGTGCACCTATTTTCTATGCATTGACTGGAATGAATTGCTTCTATGTTTAAGGAAAGAAAACCAGAAAAATAGCTTGCAAATGTATTTTAAAATAATCCCCTTTGTATTTCTAAGTAACTTAATTCAAATGAACAGAGAAGCTACAGTAGACAAATATTTTAATACATTCTTTCTTTTAATATGCCGTATAAAAACCTGAAATCAGACCCAGCAAAAGAACCTGAATATACACATACAAGTTCTCTTTGCTGCAGAAGTACACTTGTGATCTGATTGTATAACGAGCATATTAGAGGTTGAGACTAGCTTTATGATGAAATGTGTTTTCAAATCTCAGAAGTCTTTAAGGACTTTCATATTTTTAAACAAAATCTTTTAATTATTAAAAAAGTATCCAATAGTTATGAGCTTCGTCTTTCTATTTAAAATATTTTAAGCAAACGTTTGAACCATTTTCTTCTGATAATGAAAACCAAATCGATTCCAACAGGTTTCATATATTTGAAAGTTATGAATCATAGGTGAAAGGCTGCCATGTCATAATGTCATAATTTGCATCTCTTTTCTGCCACAATTTTTCATAATATTTCGAGACTATGAAATAGTATTTTTATCTTGTATGCGAAAGCTGAATACCACCACACCATACTCAGGTTTTTTAACTTAAAATTTAAAACAGATTAATGGAATATGGACCTACTTTGTAATTTTTTGCTAGTGCTTTCTCCACCATGAACATGTCTTCTTGGCATGAAAGGTGATGGCTGAGGCAGAGGTAGTGAAGATTCATCATGTGTCTGTAGCTTATACCAATGTGGTTCATCATCTAAAAGTGCTGTCTCCAGCTCTATCAGAATCTAGTAGAAAAATTATCATATTTTATTTTCACTTTCAGAGCACACACACAAACATATATAAAATATGTATGTATATGCATGTGATTTTATGTATCACCTCTCCAAGAAATTCACTCTCTTCTTCTTGTACTCTTGGCTGATCCCATACGGTTATTTCAAGCATTCGTTCTCTAAAATCTCTACGATGTACATGCGAGTAGAGAAAAGTTTGGTTCCATTTTGGCTCTAGACTTTTCTTTACTGTTTTGGTCCTCCTTTTACTCTTATCACTGAAACATAAACATCAGTTGTAAATTGTTTGTAGAGATAAATCACCACTTGCCATCTACTCATCAGCACTTATTGTCTTCATTCTTTCTGGCCTGATAATGCGTAAACCAGAAAAGTGTTTGCTGTACAGTGGATCACATTCATCCAGAAGTCCACAAAGTTAATTTGATAATGATTTGCATGATTCAAGTGCAGTTTTCTGCAACAGTTAAGCTAACTATAACAAATTACTAAAAGGAACTCTTTACTTCATAACCATCCATTTAAAAGTTGATTCAATACATGTTAAATTGCAACATAATTTTCTTAACTGAAATACCACTACCTTCTGTCTGGAAGAAAATACATTTTTACATAGGGATTCCTGGGGCGTCCATCTACTCTTGGTGGCAAATCTGTTGCTTGCAGAACATTTACTATTAACTGATGTCCCACCTTGTCATACCACAGCTTAACCTACAAGAATCAAGTCATCAGAAAACACAACTCAGAATTTTCAGGCTGCATCACATTAACCACAATGTAAAAATAACCACTGCATTTTTCCAAGAGACAATTAGATGCATTTTATTTTGAATCTCTTAATATTTACTTAACTTAGATGGAAAAGATGATGGCACATACCAAAGACTTTTGTATTAACCACAGCTGAATAAAATCGTGGTGCCTGATTATACTTATATCGTATTATATCATATGATACCAGTATATGCCTTATCTCTTCACCTTAAAAGCTAAATGGAGATAAGAAGCCCTGACTGTAGCTAAACTTGAGGCAGAGTTGAAATCTATCTACTCTGATATGTCACCTTGCAAAAGTTGTTATGAAAAGCATAATACACAGCTAAACCATTTTTTAAAAGAATCATGACATTATGAAATTTTTGAACCTGCCGTATACTTAGAAATTAATATGATCAATATAAAAATATAAGGATGTTCAGAACAAAGTCTAAGTACTCACAGTACATTTAATAAGCACAGCTTCAACTAGTCTTAGAAACAGGATGTAGTGTGTATCTAAATTAAAATGCATTACTGAACAGCGTAACTCTTCACAAATAACACAGCCTTTTAAATGTTTATTATATGTGGATTACCAGGCATGCATAGAAAAGTTATCATTTTCAGTGCAGAGGGTACAGGATGACAAGTTACAAGGCACTTTTATGGGCTGCTCTCAACGTAAATTCCTGGGTTCTTTGCTGTATTAAGACAACTCTTTACCTCTGCTGTGATTACAGTGATGGTTTGTGAGTGGATACAGAGGTTCTTAAAAAACATTTGGGAGATGTTAGTCTTGACCAACAGCAGACATTTCTCTTGGCCTCCCAATAGACCTTGGAGGACCGTGGAGGGCAGCGGGACCAGTATTTCATAGATTTTCCTTAACAACTCAGGAAAAACAAGATATGCTTACAGAAAGTTGCCCTGGTAGGACTTGTGGTGCATCCCGTAGGGCTCCAGGGCTGGTCGGAGATATAACAGAAATAGAAGGCCTTTCCATCTTCTGTGACTCAAAAGAACTCGAACCTAAAACATACGAGAAACACGTGAACTTTCCATCCAAAATTTTGAGGCAAATTACATTAATTTCTTTTTCTTTGAATTGTATGAAGTTTCTACTTATACAGAGTATAACTGGATTACTATACAGAAAGATTTCAAACTGTGGTAGATAGCATGGTGGAGGAAAAAAAAAAAAAAGACCGTCTGGACACCCTTACCCCAGACCAAACCTGACTCTTTTTTTTTATCTGAAACAACATGCAAAAAAGGGCATGTGCAGCAGTGACAAATCATACCAAGTATTTAAAACAAAATATTGTCCTCTGTCAGAATTACACATCTCCATTCCAACACAAATTATTCTACGATTCTATGATCTGAAATCTTCACTGAATAAGCCCACATCTGTTTTATGGGTCATACTCGCTCTGAAATTTTAACTCTCAGAAACCTGGCACACAGGAATGTATATGGGTCATGGCCCCACAGGACCCTGTCCCAGGGTTTCTGGCTGCATCTCAGCCAAGGCTCGGATGGGAAAGGACTGGGAGCCATGGCCCTCACATACTCTAGCTGACACTGTTCAAATGGGATAGTTAAAAAGAAAACCAATCTTTTGAAACATAGAATTACTCTGGTTGGAGAAGGCCTTTAAGATCATCGAATCCAACCATTAACCTAGTGTTGGTAGCAAGGGCCCGGCGGCCGCAAGATCTCGCGTTGTACGGAAAGATAAGGAATCCCCTCCCTATAGCTTCTAACGTAAGCAGACGGAAGTTACGTTGTAAATCAAGGCTATATAACACTGTGTTGCATACTAATAAACGCCATTTTGCCATCCACCACATTGGTGTCAGTGTGCTGATGGCCCGAGTGACCCGGAGTCGGTCGCCGTATCGTTCCTTGAACCAGGTCGTTACGCCTCGATAGGCAACAACCTAGCAATGTCATAGTCTACCACTAAACCATGTCACTAAGCACTACATCTACACAAGTTTTAAATACCTCCAGGGATAGGGACACAACCATGATATACAAGAAGTTCATCTAACCAACATTTTCTAGTTAAGAAAAAGAGAAACAAAAACTCTGGACTTATGCTGGATGGTGAAATCCTGACACCATTTTTACCTTTATCAATCCCTTATACCTGTTTTCTCTGTTATGTGAGGGCAAGTAAATGACTGTTCTGGGCCACAGCATGTATATTAGTATATTACCAACAGAAGATATAGAAAAAATAAAATAAAATCCTGCTAGCATTTGATATCTGTATAGCTTAAATCAAATTCATATTGTTTTGAATTTAACTGACAAGACCAAAACCCACTGAATTTTTTCATACAAAAAACTCAGAGTCAATGCAGTCCTAATCTTTCAGAAAATTCACAGCTAAAACAATTACGTTGGCAACAAGACTATGTTTAGTGAAAAGAATAAGGTGTGTACTCACTAGACTCTAACGGGGGGTGAGAAGTCTCAGGAATCCGTGGAATATCACTAAAATGTAAATATACACATAGTAATTAGAAACAATAGAGATGACCTTCTGCTGGGACAAATACAGTTCTGGGGCACTTGTGTTAGAAACATGGATATGTTTCTCTTTTAATGCGTTACAAGGAAAGAAGGGGAAAATATTTAAAGACATATTTTGCACTACCCTTCATGAAAATCTTACTAATGCAAACTACTTCAAGTTAAGGAACTAGCAGATGTAACGATATGAACACTACAATGTTAATATTGTGGTTGGATTCCACAATATTTTTAGGACCAGAACAATAAATTTAGAGGCTGTTTAGGAGGAGAAAGGTGGTAAAAGGTAGGTTAGCTATGGATGTTTGACTATTTTTTGGAGAAAAAAAAAATCCCCAAAAAATAAGAAATGGGTTAACTCACTAGTAATTTTTATATAGACGTCTCAAGGAGCTGACGGAATGAAATTGATGAAAATGTCTTATAATAATAAAAAGAAAAAGCAAATAATATTAGCAACCTTTAACAAACATTTAACAAACATGAAATAACAATTGCAATGTTAAACAAATGGATACCTTTCTTCAGAGGCTAAAAAAATTTCAAATCATATTATGGTTGGGTATGGACAGCTTTCAAAATACACATACCCCGTACATATACAGGTATAAGCAATATCAACTGGTTAAAGTTTACAGATATCTATCAAAATTTTGCTATCAACATATATATTCTTCTATCAAAATCTGGATGATTCTAGCTCCTGGCTCTCTCCTGTCTTCAACAATCATTGAAAATACATTGCAAGATCAAGAAATTACTGTTATTGTCCAAATGTTAGAAAAGCAGCCAAGAGGGAAAACATAAAAAAAGCTCTTCAGTGAATTACTTGAAAATACTTTTATCTACACATAATAATTCAAAATTGAAACTACCTTTCTGAAGACCATTTACAAGATTTTAAGTCTAAAGTTGAGCATTTTAAAGGCATTTAGGCTTTTATCAGTTCAGTGAAACACTATCTTACTGACTTGGAAGTCAATAAAAATAAGACTCCTAGGTATATGAAAGTCACTCGTGAAAACGAAACAGACACTTAAGTCAGAAAAGGTATGTAACAATGCCAGATCAATTAGTCTTAAATTCATTTTTCATGTCCTGCAATTTAAACTTTTGGTTCCTATATTTCAAAAAAACACCTGTTTCAATTCCAGTTTAGTGTCTTACATCTCACATCACTAAGCAAAAATGTGCTTTTCTTTGCCTTGACTTTGCAATTTAAGAGTAATGTGGTTTCCTCAAACTTGTGGAAATATAACTGCATTACTCATCCCTGACATGGCATAGGACTACTTTATGAACACACAAACGGATTAAGGACCTGTTGCACGGCAGGTCTGAAATATTTACTTACCATGTTCAAACTCATTATTTCCTTCAACACAATATTAAGTTCATAATGTTTTCCTGTGCTAAAATGAATGCTTACATCTGCAGTATAGCCTTGTTTGTAATAACATCATGTTTAGGTTATGTAAATGAAGGAAATGTGCAAGGAGTGTTTCAACATGGAAAGCGCAACCTGCAGTGTGATGCTTCATAATTTCTGGGTGGGTGAAGATAGACACTAAAATGTATTTTGTTTGGATTGTTTTCTGTATTGTCAGCAACACAGTAGGAAAAAAATGCCAAAAATAACCCTCAAATATTAATTACATATATCAGCACTTAAGAAATTATTTATACTCACAATAAGGCACCTCCACACTATTAAATCAATACAGAAAATTCTAATAATAAACAAACACATTAACCAGATCCACACAGTTTAGAAGAGAAAAAATACAGATACTGGAATGAAGAAGCCACATCATGAAAAAAATTAGTCAAGCTGAGAGCATTGTACTCACTTAGAGCTGATGTTACTAATATTCACCAGGCAAAAGTAATTGAGTCACCAGGCAAAGGTAATTGACAAAAACAATCAGATCTTTCTTGAGATCTATTCATCCAAGAAGATGAACTGAAAAGTACCATTTTATTATATATATAAATTTTTTATTATATATATAAATACCATTTATTTGTAAATATATTTTTTATTTATATAAAAATTTATATATATTTATTTATATAAATTTTTCC